CGCAAGCTCCGTCCCTGTCACTGTCCAGAGGAGGAGCACAGGGAGCCAGGTAGAGAGGTGCTGAGGTCCCCGGGATAGGGATGAGGGGTGGGCGAGGTCTCAGTGGTGCCACAGACATTGGCATGTGTGTCGTTGTCGGTGCCCAACTGCCATGAGTACAGCACCACGTTGCTCTCGGCTCCAAGGCTGTGGTGGAGTCTGTTACACTCTTCAGCCCGCTCAGTGACGGAGGAGCAGGAACACACACAAGCCCTGTTACCAGTCGGCATAGCCGGGGCCAGGGGACCCCTAGCAGCTGTGGGCTCTCAGGGGCAGGGGCAGGGGCAGGGCACTCCTAGCAGCTGTGGGCTCTCAGGGGTGGTACTTGCTGTTATTCCACCATGGGTCTAACATCCAGAGCCTTAGCCTCTTTCTTCCTGCTTCCCTCCTTGCCCCTGTCTGGAATGTCGAGGTCAACAGCCTTCTTTTCCTCCGGAGCACTGGGATTACAGTATGTGCCACCACACCCTGTTTTCGGTGGCCAGCACAGCGCACCTTGGCCCTGCCCAGCATGAGGTACCAGGGATCGAACCCAGGTCCTTGCACTCGCCAGGCCAGCACTTAGACCACTGAGCTATCTCCCTAGCCTCCAGCAGCCTTCTTGCAAGCCTAAGGCAAGTTGGAGGAAGGAAGCCAGTGCTCGAAATGCCAGAGCAGGAGGATGGATTGATTAGCTGGCTGCCTGTGGACCTTGTCCCGTACAACTTGCTTCCTATGTGAGAAGAGCACAGGCGCAGGATCAGAACCCTGTATCTGTGCAACAGCAAGAGAGCCTGATGCTTCATGGAGTCACCATTTTACACAAGTGCCTTCAGGTCTGGCTGAATGCAAAGAAGGCCCAGCAGCCCTCCTATACTTGGTCACCTGCCCAGGGAGAGCTGCTGAAGTGATATTTCCTGCCATTGTTGAAAATTCCCTTATTTTTCGGATGACAAAATTTTAAAAGGCCGGGTGGGGGAAGGGCAGGAGTGCTCACTTCAGGGTGATCCGTGTAGGAAGCAGAAGACAGGCAGAAAAACCACAGTGGTGAGATGCGCCGCCACCCTCAGCTTTTCTGATCACACCAGACGTGGGAACATCTATTCATCATCAGGCGGAATCCTCGGAGAGCAGCCAAGCCCATCCTCCTTCCTGTGGGTCCAACTTCCTGCCAAGCTATGATCGGCTTTCCTTTGCCTGAGCTCTGTGAGCCCCAGAACCCTAAGGGCACTGAGTTCCTGATCCCCAGGCCCAGCCAAGTAGGCACAGAGAGGTCCTCAGGGTCACTCCATGAATGAAGCTGCCAGGACATCCCATTGCAACACACACACACACACACACACACACACACACAATCTACACCTCATCAGCACATGCGGTCTCAGCCCTGATAAAAGCATGTTCATTCAGAGTGAGGACATAGAGGTCTCCAGGTTTCTGTTTGACAGGCAGCACCATGCAGCGCAGCCATTCACAGGACCGTGGGCTGGGCCAAGGGTGACCTTTGGAATTGGCAAGCACGGGCCATGCCATGCTGAGCCCAGTCTAGTTTTAAATGTCTCTTACCTAACTTTTTCACTATGAGTCACCCCCCTGTATTGTGATGATTTTCAAATAACCAGGATCTGGTGGCTGGCACAAAATGGGCTGCGCCCCCTGCAGGCGCAGGTCCACCCAGCAGCCAGGGTTCCAGGCCTGTGGCCTGCCCGCGTGGGCTACACACAAACCCTGCTGGCCACCTGCGTCTCCTGTATCTCCTGTCCTAAGTAGCCACATGGGGCTCCCCTGTCGCCTGTGTGTCTCAGGAGGGGCTGCCATATATAGGAATCCTAGGACTTGGAGTGAGGCAAGAGACCTTCCTGGGGACACTGGGGTGGGGGCTCAGCAGTGCATACATAAGTTACCACCATGTGCTTGGTCTGAACAAAATGGGAGCTGTCCTTTTGTGATGATGCTGGTGACGGCGACAATAGCACGACATTCAGAACCTCAGGTTCTCTCAGGAGACAGCCAAGGAGCATTCCTTCTCTGCCTAAAGATCGATTCTCTGTGAATGCAAGACTTGTCCTGGGCTTGTGGACACAGGAAGGGGCTTGCTCCAGAGGCAGAGAATCAACCCTGGACGGATTCCCCAGGACAGGGGGACCCATGGAGGCGCCAAGGAGCCCAGTTTCCTCTCTGGATGAGCAAATTTGTTCCTATAGTCATGTCATCTCCTATAACTTGTGTGCCAACCAAAATCTCACCAGACTCACAGGGCTGGTGCAGTTAGAATCCTCATTTCACAATGAGGAGGGTGGGACACTAAGAATTTAAGGAACTTGCCCTGCTTGAGGGTGAACCCTCCACATGGTTGCTGGGGGTGGAGACACAGCTAGGCAGGAGGCACGGAGAGCCCAGGTCCCGCTGTGACACAGAGAAAGTGGGAGGCAGAGCCACCAAGCCACGAGCTGTTCCTTGGGTAGAGGGCACCATGGTAGTAGGACCCTGGGCAACTTCCTGATGTCACCAAGCTGAGGGCATTTTCTCTTTATAGTAAATGTCCTTTTAAACTACATGCTAGTTTTTGCCATAGCGTGTGCCTTTCTGTGCCTGCTGCCTGTCACCAGGCAGGATTGGTTCCTCCAGCAGTGGGCAGATGCTGTCCGGACATGCCCTGTTCTCATCCCTTCAGTGATTTTGCTTCTGGCTTTGGCAAATGACTTTCTTCTCCTGGCAAAAGTGATCCAGTATGAATTCCCAGAATCCATGCAGCTCCCTGAATCCTCTGTAGAGAACACAGCCAATGTCACGCCAACAGCAGCTGGCTCAAAACCCTTTCTCACTCCTCCCAGGAGAGCTGGCAGCCTGTGACCCAGTGGCAAGCCCCACGCCGGGACCTGTGCAGGGACCAGTGCCTTCCCAGGATGGCAACCAGAATGCAGTCCGCATACCCTTAGACTCACTGCGAGCTGCAGGTGGCCCTGCCCTGGCACTCACAGAGGTGACTCACCATGAGAACCCAGGGCTGGCCTGCCACCTTGGAGAAAGCTGGCATCTGTCCTGCAGAGCTGAGCTGACTCTCAGCCCCTGGCAACACCCCCTGCTGGTCTTGGAATAGCAGCATCCTGCTTCTGAAATGACCTAACTACCCCAGGGCCACCATCCAGCGCCTCCCAGGCCGGGTGACTGAGGACCCAGTAACCAATATTCACAGCACCTCCTACACTGGGCCTGACTCTGAGCATGGGGCAGAGACTACCTCCCCGAGGCTGGGCCACCTTCTGTGGCAGCTGGAGGCATGCTCCATCCTCCAGGGGGCTGAGCCTTGCTCAAGTGGCGCCATCCAAGGCTTGTGGCCTCAGGGTGTGGCAGGGCCTGTTATCTGGAGGTTGGACCCCACCCAGTTATCTAAACTCAGAAAAACAATCCTGAGCAGACAAACAGAACTAGAAGGGGACAGAATCCCACAGAGCCACTGAGCCACCCACCTGCAGCTCCAGTCTTTATTTATTTATTTTTTTTAATTATTTCAACCTCTCCCTCCCTGTGTTTCTAAGAAAAGCGAAGTGTCAGGGAAGGTTCCCCCTTGTAACCTTGCTCTCAGATCTTAAGCTGACTGAATCTTCCCACTTGGCCTGTCACTAGCAGGAGGCCAGCCTTGCCCCATCCTTCTGCCCAGTCCCCAGGCATCTATGGCTCAGAGGCAGGGCATCAGCGCAGGATGCTAGGGGCAGCTACAGCTCTGGGCAACCTGGCCTTGCCTAAACAGTGGGTTTTTCATTAAACAAACTGTTCGTTTCCTCAAGACAGGAGCTAAAAGTCCTCCACAGGAGCCAAAGGAGATGCCTGGGAAGCCTAACATGTTCCTGACAGGGACAGAGCCCTCAGAAAAGTGGGTCCTGACTGCAACCCACAGAGCTGGTGCAGAGCTGAGAGCGCATCCCCTGAGCGGCAGTGACATTCAGTGTTTACTTGAACAGAAGACCATACAGCCAAGCCCCAGAGGCTGGGGGACCCTGCTACGAGCAGGGGCTGCTCAGAGCCATTCCACTTATAGAAAGCAGTGCTGACTCAGTATTACCCAGGAAGCCCACACTCTCAAATACGGCACCAAAAAAGCTCCCTGTCATGCCCTGCTGGCTGGGGCGCTGCTTTTTACGCAAATTTTTTTTTACAAAATGTTTATCATAAAGTATTTATGACATTTTTGCCGTTTCATTTACAGTAACCAGGACGACATTTAAAGACATGTTTCCTGTATTTTACTTAACAGTAAAGCTAACCTCCACCAGAACAGCAACTCGGAAAAACAGCCACCAACAAGTGTCAAGTTTGACCTCAACCACTGCAAACAACCCTATCCTCAGCCTTCCTCCTCCTAATCCTCCGTCCTAGCCCCCAGAATATTTTTTATTCTTTAGCATTCATGGGCAGAAAAGAATATAAAAAGAGTTCCTGGTGCGGTTCATGCACATTTGGAGAAAGAAGCCAAGCTTTGCCTTGTCTTTGTATCTCTGGCACTGAAGCCAGGAAGTCGGGTAGCTCAGACCGGACCACTCAGACCAGGCAGCCAGAAAGGGCTCAGGGCTCTTTCCTCCACCGCTGCGAAGCGGAAGCTCTCTCAACCTCAGTGGCCCTGGCTTAGCACAGTTTCACCCACCTCCGTCTCTGAGCCTTGTGTCGGCTTCTGGAAAGGAGTCCCAGGCAGCTCAGTTTCCAGACAATCACCACTATCTCTGCCATCTGCTCCAAGACATCTCACAGTGCAGAGAGCACCCACGCTCACCTAGTGAACGATCAGACAGCTCCCCGGAGAGCTGGCCCTACACAGCCCCTCTGGGGGAGAAAGCAGGCAGAGGAACTCGGCTAGAATTACAGATCTGCAAAGTCCAAACGGAACGCAGTGTCCATTCAAGGACAGGACGGCTTTGACACAGCTCAGACCCTGTGGCACATGCACAAGTCGTGGGAGAATGGGAAAATGTCAGAAACAAACTCACCAGGGAGAAGCCGAGGGCTCCACCTTCTCAGAAACTCTCCTCTGACCGTCCCCAAGCATGCACGGGCTCAGACACAGCTGCTGAGGTGCTTTGAAACTTAAAAAGTAGCTCCCGTACACAGTCACTTAGTTTCCCCCATTCCCAATGATGTCCACTCGATTAAGACTAGAAAAAAAAAAAAAAGGCGCACACACCTCAGCCTGAGCCCACATTCTCATTGGGACGAGATGACTCATGCTGACTCAGAGCGGCCACTTCCTCTCCCGACATTCTCTTCATACTTGTGAGCTGGGCTGGTCCGGTTCCCAGCGTCTCTGCCGCCCTTCCGGAATGAACAGCCTGCCTGCCCCCATATGCCTGTGGCCCAGGGATTGGCTGCACTGGGAAACTGCCTCAGTAAGGGACTTGGGAACACCTGGAGGACAAAATGTGTGAATCTCGCGTGCATTTGAATGTCAAATACACCCTGAAACTGGGGATTGTGTTGCACAGAGCAGAGAGGGAAAGAGCAAGACGCTGGCCAGCTCTCAAAGGCAGCTGGGCTTGCTCCGCTCTGCTAAGGCTCGACTCCTTCCTGCATCTCCTCTGACCTAAAACTTTCAAGGGATCTAACATCAGCAGCGCCTCCCGATGAAGGTATGGCACTCTGACTTGAAAATTACTGTTGAATGCTTATATACAAGAAGCAGGAGTCACCCGGTTTTCTTTTGAATGATGCAGAGGGCGGGGCCGTCTTCCGCTGCTTGAAGCATTTTTCAATTATGAGAAGCCCTGGGGAGAGGCTCAGTAGCCTCTGGTGAAGCCACAGGGCTGCTGTAACTGTATTGAGCCAATTGGTAGCCTGTGGAGGGTGACACACCCAAGGTCACACTGAATAGGATTTTTTTTAAGATTGATTGATTGATTGATTGATTGGGGACAGGAGCTTGCTCTGCAGCTCAGACTTCTAATGATCCTCCTGTTTCAGCTATCCCAGAGCTGGGATTATAGGCGTACACCACCATACCTGGTTTCAGTGACCTGCATGGCATGTGGTACCAGGGATGGAGCACAGCTCCTTGCACTTGCCAGGCAGGCACTTAGACCGTTGAGCTGTCTCCTCAGCCCCTAAATAGGATTTAGAACCTGTTGGTATGCAGACCCCATTTTGATGCCCCCCAAGGCTATGAGAAAATACAGATATTATATTTGGGAGGAGGAGAGAGACCCAGGGGAGGCTTGTGGCTACAGAGCTGTGTCCCTGTCCTTGTCCTGGAGGGGTCAGAGGACCCATCTCCACTTGCAACTGGATTCATCTGAGGGGAAAAAGTTCTTGCTCATTATTTTATATTCCAGATAATTTATTGGGAAAATTGGAACATTTCGCTTCAGATGAAAGTCAGTGTTTTGAGCTTCCTGTGAAAGCTGTCACATTGATGCCATTTGGTCAGATCTTCCTATTTTTAAAGTTTTGTTTGTTTTGTACGTTCCTTTGCTAGATTTCCAGAAAACTGCAAAGCTTGTTAGTCTACTGGACTGTCTTTGCCTCACAACTCATTGCAGTATGTTTTGTTTAGGGTGAAAGTAGGGGTAGGGGTGGGGCTGCAGCCCCAGGGACTGACTGGAGAGAGTCAGGGTGCAGCAGCCCGTGAGAGGAACACCTTGACCCGGAGCTCAGCGGGGGTTCTAAGGCAGGAGCCAAGCTTGTTGTGTTTGTCCTATATTGGGCAAATCAGCCTTTCCCCTATGTATGAAGACGTTTCGTAAGTCAACTCATTAAACCCTACGAGAACTGGGGGAGAACCTAATAACTGAAAGAAATCTGAACTAGGTGGGAAACACAGCCACACCCTCATGCCACTTTACGGTGTTTTCTTCCACAGCAATGTTGTTATAATGAATCTTCTAGAACATTCCTAGGCAAGGCCTTAGCCCCATAGCCAGGCCTTCTGCCAAAATAGCAATTTGAGCTATGGCCGTGGAGGATCTATGGGGCCATGTCATCTACTTACAGCACTACATGAGAAAACCCATCAGTGCTGAGTGAGTCCTGGTTCCTCCGGGACCTTCTGCTCCCCAGCGCTTCTCATCTGGTCTGGAAATAGGGAAAGGATGTTAATGGGAGCCGGAAGAGGCCAGTCCTGACACACTGGTAAATCGAGCGTTCATGAAGGCGTGTAAGCTCACAAGCCCTCCCCCAGGGTATAAGGTAGAAGTGTCTAGAGTGGATTCTTTTAACTGGCTCATGTCTGTATATTCCACCAGAAAGGGATCAAACACACGTTTTTAGCATTGCTAGTTTTGAAGACACTCTGTAGACATTTTCATAGGGTTTCTTTCCAAAGAAAATAACACCATAAAACATGAGACTGGTCTGAGGATGCAGCTCAGTGGGAGAACATTTGCCTAGCTTCTGCGACGTCCTGAGTTCAATTCCTGGTACCATAAAAAAGAAAGGAAAAAACCCTAAGTGTTGCTGAAATAAGTCTCACTTCTAAGGAGACTGCAGTCTGAAGACACAAGTTCTGACATGTGACAGAATTCTTGCAAAGAGTGGTCGTTCACATTGAAGAGTGTCTATGTGGACAGTAGCTCCCGGACCCCCCACAGAGGGTAAGGCCTCTGATCCCAAGTGTAGCTCTGTGTGGAAGGCAGTGACAAGGGACACAGAGCTACAGGAATAGCCCTCCACCCCTTTTAGGATCAGAGCCCCCAGGGTAGCACAAGCTGTCTGGTCTCAAGCCCACGTTCCTAACCCAGACAAGTCCTCACCAGGGACTTTGTAAATATCTTCCTACACACGCCCCCTTCGTTCCAACGTCTCCTACCCCAGTTTGTAGATACACGGAAAGCAAAAGTGAGTCAAAATCCTAACCTTACAATGACCCACCTCTTAAAACTATATCAGTTCCATATCATGGAAAGAACAAAAAAAGGCAGATATGGCAGTACACACCGATATTCCTAGCACTCTAAGAGATTGAACCAGGTCTTTCAAGCCCAGACTAGGCAAATCGGTAATTTAGGAAGACCTGTCTCAAAATCTTTACAAAGGCATGCGCATGTATGAGTACAAAGGCCCTTGGTTCAATTCCTCAGGACTGGGGAGAAAAAAGAAGGAAGGAAGAGAAGAAGAGAGGGAAGAAGGAAGGGAGGGTGAATGAAAATGAGATATTGAACACCTCCCTAAAAGACCCATGAAGCTGCACTCTACTGCCACCCCTCCATGTGCAGTGCCTCATGGTCAGCAGAGGATTTAATATCCTTGCCCTCACCTGAAGCAACAGAAAATTCACCCCTCATTTCAAATCCAGGCCACCTTCTCCAGCCTTACCTCTTCCCAAGGACTTCACTCTGAACTGCAGGCCTTTCTCCCTCTCCAGCATCTTCCTGTCTGTGGGTTGAGACATAGACCCAGGCCTCCCTCAGCCCTGCCACACTGATGCTGGCCCTCATTTGCTGTTGCTAAGAGCATACACCACAGACTGGGAAGTCAGGAAAGAAAGGAGGTTTGCTTCAGCTCATGGTCTGGTCCAACATCGCCAAGGCACCACATCTGGTGATGGATGGGTCCCAAGGTCACACTGGGCATCTCACTGAGAGAGACTCACCTGGCTGACTATTCCACAGCCCCTCTCCAGATAAGTGGGAGCCATGAGGTCCTGAATGGATAAACCCAACGCACTCCCAAGGGCAGAGGCCTGACACCCCTCAGAGCTCCCACCTGCCTCCCACTTTAGCATCTGCACCAGCCAGGATTTTACTAGAGAAAATGACATGACACAAGAGGGACAAATGGACAAAAAATGGCATGACTGGCCAGCCACAGAGTCGGATGAGGAAGCATGAAGAGGGGTCTGTCTGCACGCTGGAGGCTGACGGGTTCCATTCGAGGTCTGGAGCTCTCCACAGTGTCCATGCACGTCTGTAGCAGGGGGCCATGGGTCTGTGACAGAAGGCTGGTGAGTCTACATGGGAGGGCTGACAGCTACGGTTGGAAGCTGAAGAGTCTGCGCCAGAAGCCAGGAGATGCCGTCCAAGCTCAGGCAAAGACCAGAGCCCCGCTGCAGAATGGAAGCCCACCCAAGCTCCCTCATTGCCTTTCATAGCACCCAGGCAATGAGTCTCCTTAGGGCGTAGCATCGCTCAGCTGGTGCAGCTAATCTTCTCTGTTTCTCAGGTTGACACAATCAACCAACCATGACTATGTCTCACAGCGGAGACTAAATTTCAAGTGAGGTTTTAGAGGGGACAAGCCATGTTCAGCTGGAGCGTGTGAAACACACCCCATAGTGACCCCCACACAGCGCCCTCCAACCTGGGTAGCAGACTCCCCATTTGGATGCCACGAACTCTGGTCCATGATCCCAGCAGAGTCCTCAGCAAAGCCCTGGAAGGCCACTCCGGGCCACTGTCAGTGGGACCCAGCGCCAGGCCTTCCCAGGCCTGCGCCAGTACATGCTGCCTCTAGCCACAGTGACAGGCTCCTGGGTCCCCAACTGGGGCAAAGCCCAGGGCTACAGTAATTGTGGCATGAAGGAGGTGACAAGGAAAGAATGTATGGGACTAAAGGGTCTCGTTCTTGTTTTAAGTGTCAAATGTCTAGGACTGGATATCTTGAAGGAAGTGTACATGAAGTCAGTCGACTATACCCAGTTGCACAGGTTGAACAGTGCACAACCCCAGGAATTAACTCACATTTACACAAGCACGTGTGGCAGAGCTGGCTGTAGGGCCAGGCTGTATCATCCCAAGAACACAGAGGGGTCTGCAAAGGTTGGTTGATTGTGCCAACTTGAGAAAATCAGTTAAGAGAAACTTACCTAAGTCAGCCCAGCAGCTGAAAGGAGGAAGGACGGCCCTGCTTGTTTCTGCGGAGGAGCCCCAGTCTTCACTTTCCCATTGGATGTCATCTGGCTCCCAAGACAGGCTCTTGGGCTTTCAGCATGGATCCGTCAGCCTACAGGGGTAGACTCTTCAGCTTTCCATTGCAGACACATCAGCCTCCTGACACGAACTTGCATAGCCACTGCTGTGAGCTCCAGACCTTGGGCTGGATCCTTCAGTCTCCTGTGGGCAGACGCCCTCTGCGCGCTTCCTCATCTGGCTCTGTGGGCAGCCAATGTGAGCCAATCTTATAGATACTTATTTTTTAAAATCATTTATTTATTAATTCATTTATTTATTGGTGCAGGGTC